CCACTGACCCACCACCTTGTCAGTTTCCTGTAAATGGTAGCTACAGAACAGCCTTTGTTAAGCAGACCTCTGCAGTATGTGGACAGACCAGTTGTCCGCACAGCCTGCTTTGTGTAGGGTGTCCAGCACCGTACAAAGTGAAACTGCTGTGCTGTAGTGCGACACGTGATCTGAGTCCGTTCTGTCACGTGGCAGTGTGCTCTGACTGATGTGCCTGGGGTGATCCGTGGTGAACCGTGCTTGTCTGGGCTCTGGTGTGCAGATGGCAATGGCGGTCTGTACCAGGCACTGCTGGATAATAAGATCTTGGAGGACATGGAGAAGAGGGGCGTCCAGTACCTTCATGTGTATTGTGTGGACAACATCCTGGTGAAAATGGCTGATCCGGTTTTCATCGGCTTCTGTGTCAAGAAGGGGGCGGACTGTGGAGCCAAGGTAAAGACTCAGCCTGCTCAGTTCTCTTCTGTTTGCTTGCATACTGCAGGAGGCGTGTTCTGTGAAAATGGTTTGCACAGCGATGAAGTATGTTTATCTTTCAGAGGCAGAAGTTTGCAAAACAGCAGCCACCTCCTGGATAGCCGTTTATCCAGAAATTCTCAATGTTTCTCCTGGAATGGTTTCAGACACGTGTGAACCCTGATTAGGATAAACCACGCTTGGGATCTATAACTTTCAAATTATGCTGCATTTATATCAGTACTTAAATTTAGATGTACGTGCTGCATTGCAGTAATATTGCTCATCTCGTAAAGGGGAGCTGCAGTCCCAGTTTCTCAGATCGATTATTAAATCTCGGTAACAAAATAAATTCATGGATGGCATTGCAACAGATTACAAATTTGACAAAAATTGACCAGTTTTGAAGTAAGCACAAAATCGTGAACTTTGTGAAAGTACCCACAAACCCCTGGTCTCCCTGTGGCCCGAGCGAGAGTTCCCACCAATTGCGACGTGATGTGGCCCTTCCTGCTCACTAGTCTCAGTAGTGAATGATGTACTCTGATTTTTTTTAGTGAATTTTCTGTACTCGAGTAAACAAGCGCAGGCTGTGCAGCAGATATTTCTCTGCATAAGTGTCCCACTGTGGTCTGCATGCGGAGTTAACAAGTAGTATTTGTCAGCAAAACCGTCTCAAAATCAAGAGCAATATTTCTCTTGGATTGAAAGAGCTGTTTTCACACGCCTGATTATTTACAGTGTGCCAGGCCGCTTCATCTCGCCAGAAGTTTTGTTGCCTCGTTCTAAATCGCAGAATATGGCTCTGTGCACACCTGGATATCTCCTCTATTTTGTGATGTAAATTGGAGGTTTTACATGTCACTCTGTTCATTTAACTTTCATTGCAGATTGAAGTGCCTTCCTCAGTGCTGATTCGTTCTAATCCCAAAGTATCAAAATAGCCTTGCGGTTTTAAGAAGAAGATAACGTTTTGGCCGTCTCTGTGATGCCGGGGCTGGGCCTGTAGTGCCCATGAGAGCTGGCGGAGGGCCTGTAACAGTCTGTGGGTGTCTGTGCCCCCAGGTGGTGCAGAAGGCCCACCCGGCCGAGCCGGTGGGCGTGGTGTGCCGCGTGGGCGGAGTCTACCAGGTGGTGGAGTACAGCGAGCTCAGCCCAGAGACGGCCGAGAAGCGGCACCCCGACGGCACGCTGGTCTACAGCGCCGGGAACATCTGCAACCACTTCTTCACCCTCGACTTCCTCAGGGCGGTCTCCGAGTAAGTCCAGCAGTGCGCGCAGCCGGGGTCTCTACACTCTACTCTGCACAGCGGCGCCCCCCTGAGATACACAGAGGGAACTGCGGCTGGCGGTGTGCCGAACGCCCAACCGCTCCGAAGGGCGTTTCGGAGACGTTGATGCGGGGATCCTCGTTTTCCCCAGTGACGCGCGGCGGCTGTGGCTGTAATGTCGGGTTGTTTGACAAGTGCACAGTTTCGCCTTGAGACGGGAAGGAAGAGTGAGGGCAGCAGGGTGGTCAGGGGTCAGCATTGCTGCCTCGCAGCGCCGGGGTCCTGGGGTGAGTTCTGGACCTGGGCTGCTGGCTGTGTGGAGCTTGTACCTTCTCCTCGTGTTTTGTATGGATTTACTCCAGGTGCTCCGGTTTCCTCCCACAGTCCAAAGACATGCAGGTAGATGAATTGGCCCTGGTGTGACTGTGTGTGTCAGTGTTTGCCCTGTGATGGACTGGCGTCCCTCCTGGGGCCTGTTGCCTGCTGGGATACAGTCGACTCCGGCCCCCTGCGACCCTGTGTTGCACCGAGGACGGATGAAGACTGGAGTGGGCTGAGGGTCGATGCTGGCCAACCCTTTTGGTAGAGTGGCCCTCAATAACGATAGGAGGATGCGAGTGCGTCCTCACGCTCTCTCTTCACGCAGGAAGTGTGAGAGCAAGCTGAAGCAGCACGTGGCCCTGAAGAAAGTGCCCTGCGTGGACGAGGAGGGGAACTGGGTGAAGCCCGAGAAACCAAACGGCATCAAGATGGAGAAGTTTGTGTTTGACGTCTTCCAGTTTTCCAGGTGAGACAACTGAGAAGAAGAGTGGATCGTGTGGTTAGGAAAAGCCTTATCACTTTCCACTGAACTGAAGCATGAGCCACGGTATCTGCTTTCTGAACACACTGGTGTTGTATTCTAACACGGGCACGTTCACTTCCTTGTTGATGCCTTCTCGCGGTTTCGTTTACGAAGTTTGACTGCGGTTCGAGTGCATCAATACAGAGTTGGTGTTGATTTGAATACGTGCGAGTGGAATATAGGAGGCCAGGCGGAGGAGTTCGCTCTGAAGACGACCCCACGATTTTCCATCCCTGCAGGGATTTTGTGGCCTTTGAGGTACGGAGAGAGGAGGAGTTCTCCCCGCTGAAGAACGCCGACACAGCCACCAAAGACACGCCTGCCACTGCTCGCCGGGCACTGCTCTCCCAGCATTACCGCTGGGCCTTAGCCGCTGGGGCCAGCTTTGTCGACGGCCAGGACAGGAAGTTACCGCCCATGCCCCGGTGAGTGACAGCTCTGACCGGAAGTTACCGCCCACACCCTGGTGAGTGACAGCTAATGAGAGCAGCTTCAGTCATGACTGAGCTGATTCAGACTTATTTTTAACTGGATTTATATAGCAGTTTTCATCCCAGAGAATCCCAGAGCTCTTTACAATTTGGAGGGGAGCCACTTCCTCCTGTGCTGAAGAGCAGCCCCCTCGTGGCGTGGGCATTATGAGACAGCAGCCACACTGCACAGCAAATCAGGTGTAGAAGTGAGAAATTGCTGCACTAATGGAATTAAAGGAGAACTTGAAGGAGGACAGTCTGCAGCTTTAGAGTGGAATTTAGCCAGGACATGGAAGTCATGAAAGTTGTCATCGAACCCGATACCTTGGCTTCTTTAAAGAAATGTCTGGAAGAGACACTTGGATCAATTACATTCTAGGAAGGCTCGGTGGGTCAAATGAGGACCTCTCATTTGTAACCTTTCTGCTGTGCTTATGTTCTTGTTTCTTATACAAATGTAAAGAATTTCATTTTACAACAAAACGGCAAGATAGGGTGTTGAAATCCATTCTAGCATTCTTGGCATCAAAACATAAAAGTAAAAAAAAAACTGCAACTGGAGTTCTGGGATTCATTTTGTCCCATTTTCATTTGTGCATCCCCAGTTACAGTTTCTATTTTACAGTTTATCTTTTAATTCCGTTCTCTGCAGACTGGCAGACACAGAAGACCCCCCCGCCACCTGTGAGGTTTCTCCTCTGGTCTCCTATTTCGGAGAGGTGAGAAATAAGTATTTTTAAGGAGAAAAAGCCTGTACTGCTATTACTTTACAGCTCTTACGGATTATGGGACATGTCAGAAGTTGGGCTAATCGCATCCCATTGACCAGACCGGATCTCTCTGAAGCAGCGCCCTGTTCTGAGAGGTCTCCCGGGTCTGATATGTGCTGTACAAGCACTGCCAGCCCTGTCTGAGAATTGGTATCAGTGAGACTCAGGGATTGCAGCGTACAGATACACATTCAGATTTGTGCACAAGGTTAAACCTGCTGAAATGAACAGAGATGAATCCAGTGCTGGACATTCTGTAGCCAATGGAGTCTCCCATTATTTTGGAGAGTCATATTATGATTGCCGGGTTAATTTTAAAAAGCTGAAAAGAAAAACAACTTTCCGGACTGTGTTCGGGTGTAGAAGGCGGCGGATCCACAGCCGAAACGTTGTTTCTTTTCTTCCCTTGTCAGCAGGAATAAACCTGGACTTGTGCCTTTGCGGCCTGCACACGCTGACGCAGTTCCCTGCTTGAGCCATTTTAAACCAGTCAGCCATAAGAAATACACTAATGTTAGTCAGGGCTTGCAGTTCCAGTGCTGGGCCTCTCACCCACTTCAGATTGTCCTCTGAGTTTGGATGTTTCCACTCTGTTACCCTCTTATGTTTTTTTTTGTCCTATGAGTGGGTCCCGGACCCAGCCAAGGTGAGTGAACTGTCTCCAGCGTGTTCACCGAGTGTTTCTTCCTGTCGCTGCAGGGCCTCGAGGCGATACTGAAAGGCAAGGAGCTGAAGTCTCCCCTCGTTCTGGAGGAGAAGGTGGCAGAGGAACTCGGAGCTCAATAGCCAACCTGTGTTTTAAGGAAAATAGTCGTTTATAGTGTAACTTGTGTTGTTTTAGTGCAGATGAGTACAAATTATCAAGGGATCAAACGTGCCTTCAACTAGAAAACAATTGTGATTTCGTAACAGCTTGCGAAAGGAACACAAACAATTCCTGAAATACAAAACAGCATTTCTTGGGAGTCCGGCTTCCTCTATGGCAAAGGCGCTATATTAAAGCTTTAACTGTGATGCTTGAAGTCTGTTTTAATTACCAAAACATTCCAGTGTACTGTACTTTCGAAATGCAGTGTTTTTGTGAAAATGCAGTGTACTGTATTTTCAAAAAGTCTTGTCTTTTCAGAGAAAAAGTAACAAATATTGCATTCCGTTATCTGGAAATGTTTACACCTGAAAAGCATCAAGCACCAATTAATTGTGAAAGCAGGAATAACCAGGGTGTATTATTAAGCAATAAAATACTTAGGGTTGTCTGGATTGGATGCCTGTCTTCTAAATATACAATTACACAAATGCTATAGACCTATAGATATAGTATTTATAAAGCCATGATTGTCTTTGGCCTTTTACCTGCTTATTTTCATTCACATTGTGAATATTATTTTTTAATACATTTTTAGCAGCCAGACATTGTACAGGTTTCAAAAGGGATTTTAGTGGGGAAGGAATGTCTAACATTGTGGAATATTAAAAAAAAAAATACTGTCTTTTTGTAGTTTGCTGGTAAACTTTTTAGTTTCTTAAAATGTAATTGTTAATCTGTGTTGCAAATTGGAGTTGATCATTTCTGTACCAGGTATAAGATATAAATATGTATCTAAGTGTAAAGTAGTTAACAGGGCTCTGGAGTTAGAACTACAGTGTTGTGAGTTTGAAAGCAGCGTGGGACACCGCTGTTGTAGATTTTACTCGGTTTGCTTCAGTAAAATACCCAGTTGTGTAAATGGATATGCTTTGGGTAAAAGCGTCAGACAGTGCATCGATACTTCATTTATTAGTGACCTGAACAACCAGTCAAGAACACTGTGAATCATGTTTACAAAACGAGGCATTAATAAAATGTATTTAACATTCGTGCTGAGGAGTCATTGCGTGCGTCTGTGTGGAGAGATTGTCTGGCTTTTGACGAAAATGATTTTTACCCACTTCGGCTTCCGTACAGTCAGTCATTTTAGTACCGGTCACGTGGGGGCTACAGGCCAATTACAGCGCTCGGTCCGCGTTTGTTTGTTTTTTAAGGCGGAGTAGCGATGGAAAAGAGCGAACAGGGAACTGAAACATAAAGAAAGAACAAGGCGAACCAGTTAAGTTCCAAGTTGTAAAGTGAATATAATGTAAAGTTATGAAACGCGCCGCACAGCCGCTCGGCCCTCAGTGCCCTGTGGCATTTGTTTCGTTTTCGTAACTTGAGGTAACCAGGAGAGCAGGCGCATCAAGGGAGCGGTTCTAACTCCAGCGGTCACGTCCACAAGCTGCGCTAGAACAGCCGTCCTCCTATCTCGGCTCCTTCTGAGGAGAGGAAGTCAATGAAACCATCGACGCTTCCCGGGCGGTCCAGACAGCACAACGCGAGAGTCCCCCTTCGGTTTCGGACGAGCTCGAGTTACAGATCGACCGCTGTGCTGTGACTGAACGGGCGGCCTCCCGATGTAGCCCGGGAACAGGTGATCGGGTTATTCCGGGCTGGGAAGAGCCGAAGGAAGCGGGCCGGCCTGGAAGCGCGCCAGGATGTTCAAGAACGTGTTCGGTTCCGGGTTCCTCGTAAGAACCGCGCACGTTATCCTGACCTGGCTGACGACCCTCATCCTCTTCCTGCACGACACAGGTCAGTGGCAGGGCGCCTTCAGGCTCCTGCTGACTCTGTTGTACCGGCGGAGACGGGCTGAATTTGTATGCTTTTCAAATTGTTTATTCACGGGTATTGTGCGAAACAAAAAAAAAAGATAAACGGGAAGCAAAACTGCAAACGGCACCGTACTGAACGCCACAAAACAGTCTCGTGAAGAGCCTTTTATTTCACATACTGTGTCATTATTGACAGAGAAAGTTAAAAAAAATATTTCGTTGAAAGGTCCACTACAGCAAAACACTGTGCCGGTGCAGTCCAAGGCTGTGATGATTGCATCTGGGAGAACAGTAGATCCGTTTCTTTTCCTTGCACATCATAGAGCAGAACCACGCGTGACCCTGAACTTTTAGATTGAAATAGTCTGTGAAACTGATGACTAGAACTCGGCCGTAGTGTTCAAGCAGGACTGCAGGGAGCCCTCAGGTCAGCCAGCCGGGCCGTGTGTCCGTGAGGAGACCCGACAGCGCTCTCACGCGTGTCCGTGTGGCCCCGCAGATCTGCGGCGACAGGAGGAGAACGGCGAGCAGCTGCAGCCCGTGCTGTTCGTGCTGCTGGTGCTGGCCTCCGTGCTGCTGTACTTCGCCGTGTCCCTCATGGACCCCGGCTTCGTGCTGTCCGACAGCGACGCCACGGTAAGGCGAGCTCGGCCGTTTTCTCCTCTTCGTGTCCTTGTTGACCCTTCCAAAAGGTGACGGCTATCCTTGACTTTTGTTTGCTCAGATACATCGTATATGTAGGACCATATGCAATTTCCTGTTATGAGTATTAGGAATGTGTCTTTTCGCACACCCCAGCTTGCTCTCCATGAGACACACAGACAGGGAGAGAAGCTGGGGGTCAGAGCGCAGGGTCGGCCATTCATACAGCGGCCCTGCAGCAGCTGGGGTTCAGGGCCTTGCCCGGTGCTCAGTGGGGTCACTAACCCTGCCTGTGTGGGGCTGCTGTTTTGCCAGTTCACCCTGGGCGTCGCGGAGGAGCAGCAGGAGATGATCCCCCCGGTGTCCAAGGCCCCGCGCCAGCGCCGCTGCGGGTTCTGCCTTCTGCAGGTACGGAGTGAGAGCCTGAGGCCCGACGCCCCTCTGCATCCCTGCGGTCTGCCTGCCCGAGGAGCGCGGGATCTTCGCTATTCACACTGAACAGCAGTGCGGCGAGGGGCCAGAGAGGACTGTCTGTCGTTTCTTCCTTCTGCGTGAACCTGCCGAGTCTGTTGTTCTGTTTAACAGTCCTAATCCGTGTGTCCTCTTGTTTCGAAGTTAGATTAGATTGTCTCCGGTACGTCCCGGGCACACAGGCCCCCTGGCTTGTGGGAGCAGGCAGTGGGGGGAATCGGTTGCCGGGGGGGCAGGCCGGGTCAGTGTGAAGCCCTGCGGTCACGCTGCTCTGCTCTCTGTCCCGAGCAGCAGCCCATGAGGGCGAAGCACTGCCAGACCTGCAAGCGCTGCGTGCGGCGCTACGACCACCACTGCCCCTGGATCGAGAACTGCGTCGGGGAGAGGAACCACCGCTGGTTCGTCCTCTACCTGCTGGTGCAGCTGCTGGCGCTGCTCTGGGGCGTCAACCTCGCCTGGTGAGTCCACCGGGGGGGCGGCTCTTTTCCCATCGCGCGGTTTACTGCTCTGCCCTCACCTCTGGGCAGCGACCGCAAGGATGAGGTCGCGGGTACGAGAGGCGGAAAGGAGGTCTCTCCGCAGGGCTGCTGGCAGAGTGACCATTGAAGCGGCTCGGGCATGTGGAGAGGGTGCCCCCCGCTGGAGGTGTACCAGGCATGGCCCACTGGGAAGAGACCCCCAGGACAGGCCCAGGACCTGCTGGAGGGAGTCTCTCTCTCAGCTGGCCCGGGAGGAGCTGGAGCCTGTGGCTGGTGGAGGGGGGGTCTGGTCTTACCCTGCTCAGTGTGTTCGCGCCGCCACCCTCTGCAGGAGCAAGCGGTTAGACCAGGATGATGAAGGTGATTTGCTGGCGGCAGTGATCCCCTTGCTGGGGTCACATGTGTTCAGGGGAACAGAGGCGATCCAGTTTCAGAAACTGCCTGTAAACCCTCTGATCTATCGCCACAGCACCACTGCCACGCTGTAGCCGGGTCTCAACAGATCTCCGAAGTGAAGGCAGGAATAGGAGACCAGGTGGTGGTGGGACCAGTAGGAGGCGCTTGGCCCACTGTACCAGCAGCTCCACTCCAGCGGGCCCAGTATGGTGACCACAGCGGACACTGTGCTGTAGGAGGTGTCTTCCTGTGGAGGAGACGTTAAAGAAAGTGCTTACTACTCGGTCATTAAAGAGCTCCTCCTGGCACAAACTCCCACCGCAGATTCGTGTTGGTGAAGCAGCTTCTCGTCCTGGGATTTCCTGATCAGCTGGGCTGCTGGTGCACGATGGCCGCCGCATGTCGCCCAGGAGGTGCAGAAGAGGGTCCCTTCCCACGTGTAAAAGCTCCGTGTGGGCGCTGATAATCATTGCAATGTCGCCTTTCCCCCTTTTGAGCCCTCCACGCTAGAGCACACGTGGGAGATCAAAGGCCTTTTCAGGAAGTTTCCATTTAAAATTAAAAAAAAAAGTAACTTACACGTATGCTGTACTGAGACGGGCCTCGCCGGTCCGGGTTCAACTCGAACTGTGTGAAAACAGTGTCAGCCGTGTGTGCGAGTGCTTCCTGCTGGTGCACAAGTCACTTTTGTTAATGTCCCCCCCGACTCCTCTTGTGTCCCGGGAAGGTCTGGCTTCAGCTACGCCCCCACCTGGAAGACGTGGCTGCGGCAGAACGGCTTCCTCCTGGCGGCCTTCCTGGTGGCGGCGGTGTTCGTGCTGGTGGTGGCCCTCCTGCTGGGCTCCCACCTCTACCTGGTGTCCCTCAACACCACCACCTGGGAGTTCATGTCCCGCCACCGCATCTCCTACCTCAAGCACTGCGGCGCCGACGAGAACCCCTTCGACCGGGGCGTCCCGCGCAACCTGCGGGACTTCTTCTGCGTGTGCCGCGCCGTGGCCTGGGAGGAGGTGTATTTCCGGCAGGGCAGCGACCCCGTCTAGCCGCCTGCGCCCCCCCTCTCCCGGGGAGCGGGGGCGGACTCCAGCCCTTCAGCGGGAGCAGATACAGGGCGGCTCAGTGGAAGCGGACGAGGAGGGAGCCTGCAGGAGCCCGGCCCTGTGACTCCTCCAGAAACGGGCAGAGACAAGTATTTCGCAAGTCTGGGCTCCCCGCGCCCCAGATCGCTTCAAAGAGCACGACCGTTCTGCGGAAGGTGGCGCCTTGTTCTACAGCTGTGGCGTCGCAGGAGCTGCAGGGCCCTGAAGCGACAGACAGTTGGCCGACACCGGGGTCGTCCTGGCTCCAGCGGTGTGACTTATCGCCTGACCGTGGGGAAACAAGTGCGAGAGCGTCTGTGTAATCTGCGTAATAACAGAACAATCGTAACATGGATTAAGAACTTCCACAAGCACTTTTAATATTTTTTTTTGCACATTAAATTCGTCAGCCTCAGATTTATCGCTCTGATGCATGGCACTAAAACTGTCTAGATAGTTTTTTATACCTTTACTTTCTTTCTTTCTTTCCCCACCAGAGTTGGGGAAAATCGATACGGAAAGCGAGGTGTTCAAATAAAACGGTCATGTTAAGGTGCAGATACGATGTTTATACTATGTGTGCCAGGCCTGTGTTCTGTGCAACAGTAAGGAATGGTGGTTATTGAACAATTTGTAAACAAAAGCAATAATGGCAAACTATTTTAGGGGACCTACAGAAGTCTATTTTCTATAATGGCGTTGATCGGAACGATTGGTTTCACAGTGTTACCTGTGGCATCAGTGAGCAGAAGGCTGGGAAGTTGTGTACTATGAAAAAGAAGTATTTTGGCCCAAGAACAGTCTCATGAGGGGGTCCTGTCCATTGGGAAGTGTGATGCCAGCTTCTGCATTTGACCTTACTGGACAAAAGAGTTTATGCAATAATTTCTTAAAATTTGTAATGTCTTTTGAAATGGTATTGTAGAATCAGTTTAAGAATACAGTGTTGAACATCGAAGCTGCTTTGTACTATTTCTGCTCAGTAAATTGTCAAGACTGTGTATAATAAACCCTGGATTCATCCATTTTTTCCTATATGGAGGTAGTAAGAGTGGAACCTGTAAAATCTATTATTTCCAATTAAAAAACTCCCACAAACAAGTCCACAGAGTCATGCCTTTGAAATGGCTATTTTAGAACGAGACAAACATTGTAACACATTTATGCTCAAACACCCTAACTTTAGGGAGAAATAAATTTATTGTATTTTTGTTTTACGTACATGAGGACACAATAAAACAATCTCACCTAAAGCTTTAGACCATAGTACGTTGTTCCGTTCACTGTATAAATTACTTCAGTAGTAAAGCACATACATATATTCATTATATAGAGAAATATACACATTCACAGCTGTTTCAAGTGGTTTCCAAAGGAATGCAGAAACTGTAATGGCTGAAAATAGTCAGCATTGAACTTTAAAATCCTCTTATCTTCATTCACCAAAGAGTTATACGTTTTTAAGATCTGTAAAGCATTTGCACTTAATCCATTCCACTTCATTGTAAAGGTTAAGGCTCCGTATTGGTCACCACTATCATGCACCACACCCACAGCCCCATCTGTGCAGACTTCCCAGGGTTGTGCTGGGAAAGGTTGGCTGTGCGAAAAGTATGCAGAGCTCATTCATGTTCAGATACTTTTACTTTTTGAACAGCTAAGCAGAGGCACTTCTTAAAACTGTCATATTGAACCTAAATCCCAGGGAGAACATCGTTAAAGAAAAACACCTACGGTATATGTATAGCAACTTGAAAAGTTACAGCAGTAATACGGGTTGCCTTTATATTAATCGGGGGTCTACACTGTTAAGGGACAATTGCATTCCATCGGCCGTCCACTTCCTCTGGCAGCTTGCAAGTTCAGATTTGAATGTAAACTAGGTAACAAATCTGAGTTACATGTTTTAAAAGCAAACATACAGGGCCAACAGTGGCAGATTCAGTGATGGGATCGTAAAAAGCTAAGTCTCGCCCCTTAATATCACACCTAGGTAATGTACTGCTGTCTAGAATGACACCACAAAACACTCCGAGCTTTTTATGACTGTACCTGGGGCAACGTGCACATTATATCGGGACCCATAAGAGGATCCTAACGGGAGAAAAACCCGAGATGCTTTCCTTTAAAACATCAGCAACAACCGAGGTGCACGATAACCATGCGAGGCTGTAGGGATCTAAAAAGGAGCGAAAAAAGTTTCGAGGTTAAAAGGAATGATGACATGGGACAATAGATTTTGATCCTTCGGGTCATCAAAAGTTTAAAGGAAGCAAACCTCAGCTTGTTTTTTTCTTTCTTTTAAGCGTCAACAATGGCAGTTCAAGTGCCGAACCGCCCTACAATGGAGGCCTGATTCCGGTGTGGCATCCTGCGCTGGGGATCTGGAGACCGGCGGGAGAGCGTGGGGAGGGCTCAGCCGAGCGAGGAGAAGTCGAAGCCGGCGAAGCAGGCCTGCTGCTGGTCCGTGAGCACGCAGGGGGTGTGGGGCGGCGTCAGCACTGGCCTCAGGCGCGTGAACTCCTCGTCGAAGTTGCCCACATCCAGGGGCTCCCTGATCGTCGGGGTGAAGGGAGGCGTCACCCTCTTGGCCAGCAGGGCCTCCCAGTCGGTCCCCTGAGGAAGGAGCCACAGGCGTCACTTAGCCCCTCCAAACCGGGGCAACGGTGAGCACATCTCGTTCCTACAGCCTGCCTGCCGCCCGCTTGCATTTTGTTGCTATAACCAGGTTTACAGAATTTTTACAGGCCAGCGATGTGGCTATATCCTGATGATACGGTGACACCCAGGGAGAAGGATCTTGTATACGTCATCATATTAAAGCAGAGAGGGGCAGCTCCAGGTCACAAGGACAACCACACTGTCCAGCTTCTCTCACTACCAATAACTCTCGCGGAGTGGTCTGGCTTACCAAGTCAAATCACGTTTGTTTTGCTCAGTTTTAACCAGCGGCTAGTTGACAAGCAGCCCCAGATCATGCAATCAATGACTATCCCTCGAAAAAGTCTTTGTGATGCATTACTGAAGGTGGATCCTTTTTAAGTTTAGTGCCCTCAGTCGGAAATACCAACCTGGGTTTATTTCTTCAATTAGAGAACACACCGCATGCTTTCCTGAGACCTTAGGAAATGAGGAATTAAGAGAAGGTCTGGGTTTTGTGCACCTTGCCTTCTGGAAGAGCAGTGAGGAGTGAAGTGAAAGCCGATCACCTGAAAGAACTTGTGTTTCTTTACTTCCTCTGAATCCTGCTCTCCACTTCCCAGCCGTTTCTCTGGGTTCTTCCGAAGCAGCTGAGAAAGACAACACAGTTGACACACATTCGAAACGGAAGGCTGTAGCGGACAGATTAAAACAGAGAGTCTTCTTTCCAAGGGGGCTTGACAGGACTGTACAAAACAATCCTCGAAGGGGACTACGTGAATACAAAGGCTTACTTCTCAATACCACTGCTCATTGGCTTCAGGGGGAAATTATAAGATGATCCGTTTAGGAAAAAAACTGGACACAGGGTATTGACCCTCTCAAGCAAAAATCTATCAATTCTCTGTGATCTTTCAAGAAAGTGCTGTCCGAGATCCTAGGATCAATAAGTTACTACCTAACAAGACGAGATGAACGCCCCTTCTAGCCCTATATCATGTGTTAAACCCCATCTGCATTGTCAACATACTTTGCAGTCTGTGCACAAACATGCATTCAATTCAACACTTGTGGCATGTGCGTGGTAGAGCACTTCAGTTTTATCCCAGTAGGAACCTACTGACAGATGCATGGAAACTGGAGCCTGATGGTCCGAGGCCAGATGTTGGACTGAGCAGTTCCAGTCAGCTGACCCTAATGCCCTCATGTGTTAGGCACACGGGGGCTCAGCGTACCTTCTGAATGATGGAGACGGACTCCGGCGAGAGGAATCGAGGATAGCGGACTTCGTCGTTCACGATGCTGTCGAACACCTCCTCCTCGTCGTCGCCGGGGAACGGAGACTGAGACGCAAAAACAAATCGGGCGATTGACCGGACACTTTATCTATACACATTTATTTTCTTTCTCAGCGTACATCTGTGAAATGCACCGTGTAGTCTCCCTGACTCCTGGTGTAGTCATACCGCGGTATGTCTGTGAAGCTCATCGCGTTATGCCTTGTTGTTCATACGGGTTTCCAAAATCATCTTCTAAAATTCTAGAACAAAGGACGGGGTCCCCCCAGGGTCGGGGAGATGTTCTCTCGACCCCGTTCCCCTGCTCTGGGCCGCCTGCTCACCTCGCCCACCAGCATCTCGTAGACGAGCACCCCCAGGCCCCACCAGTCCACGGCCCGCGTGTACGTGTTGTCCGTCAGCACCTCCGGGGCCAGGAACTCGGGGGTGCCGCAGAAGGTGGACGTCCGGTCCCCGTGGCCCATTCCTGCACGCGAGAAGGGACGGGACAGTTTACCGACGGTCAACACGCCCGTCTTCGAGCGCCGCACCCCCAGAGCCCGCGGGGTTCCGCCGGCGTCCCGCACCCGCCGAGCGCCGAAACAGGCCTGAGGTGAGCGCAACCTGGATCAGAGCCCCCGTGGAAACGAGAAACACATGGCAAGAAACCCGTTTTTCAAAGGCCCCGTCCTTCGGATGAGACGTAAAACCGAGGTCCTGACTCTCTGTGGTCATTAAAAATCCCAGGGTGCTTCTCGAAAAGAGTAGGGGTGTAACCCCGGTGTCCTGGCCAAATTCCCATTGGCCCTTACCAATCATGGCCTCCTAATAATCCCCATCTCTGAACTGGCTACATTACTCTGCTCTCCTCCCCAC